TTGAAGTGGCTGTAGCCAGCTTGCGGTGCTGTGTCCTAACCCTTTGCGCCACCAGGGAGGGCCATTAGCTCACATTTGCAAGACACTGCCATTACCCAAGAAAACGGGATGTCTTTGCAGCATTTTAGAAAGATCAACTGTAGCTATCATGTGCAATAAATACAACCTAAAAGTAACAGGAGAGATAGGATGGTCTCAAAATTCTTTTTCCTTTTGGGTTCCTTAGAGAGGTTTGGAACTGTCTTGCTCAGGGGTAATGGCTTCTTTTGGGAGAGAACACTGGTACAAGCACTGAAAGACCTTCAAATGCAGGAAGACTGTGGCGTACTAGCATCCTGTGTTGGGGTAAAGGTGGAAGAGAAGATGAACAAAGCTGGAGAGGAATGGCCGGCCGCCGCGGGCCTCTGGGCTTCCTAGACCACTTCCTGAGGTAAAAGATTTAGGCTGGGGGTTGTCCTCTCCTCAGCTCCATAAGAGAAACCCAATAGAGGCCTCACCGGTCTCTGGAACACCTAGTCCTTTCAGGCAGGGTATCCCTTGCCAAAGCAAACAATCCCAGCTCTACGATTGTGCTCTGGCTGGGGTAGGGGAGAACAAAGATCCCTTTCTTTGCTTCCCCAACTATATTTCTCCAGCCAAAGGCACTGTTTACACAATCTTCCCTGGTGAAGAGTTTGTTCCTTTTCTCTCTAGGTTGAGGCTGGAAAAGATTGACTCCCTCCTTAACTATTCTTTTTCCCTAAGCTCTTGGTTAGGAAAAGAGTCCCACACTTGAATCTGCTACCCTGAGAGATGTCGGCACACTTAGGAGTAACTCCAGGCCCTTCTGTGATGTGACATGCCCAAGAACCTCAATGTCGTAATGGCAGAAAGCTTGTCTGGCTGGAAAAGGAAGGCTGGCCAGGGAGAGAGGAGCTTGTCTCCACTCCTGTCCTCACACCGTCACTTACCCCCAGGAGGTTCCTAGGCTTTCCTGGACCTGTTATGAGTGAGTCAAACAGTCACAATCCAGGGCAGGTTTGGATACCTTGAAAAGGATGTGATAAGGTAGTAGGCTGAAAATAGGGCTTTTGAGTGGGCAAATTCTCCTTTAGTCTAATTCCAGCAGTACAGGTTGCCCTCAAACCCCAAAACCAAAGGAGAAAAGGAAGCCCCAGGGTGGTGGAGTCTAATATTAGCTCTGGCAGAGAATCCTAGTGTTAAGTTACTCCTGGTAAACTGGTAACTAAGAAACAGCAGAGATTGAGAATTGACAAGATCTAAGTCTCCAGCAAAGTTTAAAAATCTAATTTCATTGATTTGTAGGACATCTCATGGAAATGTGTCTGTTTCACACAAGGGAAGGAAGCTGAAACCCAAGGAGACTTAACCAAAGGTAACTTGAATCCAGGATTCTGGCACTTCCAATCTTGCCAATTCCACAGGGTTGAGCTGCTGTTTGAAAATTGTATGGGTCTTTCGCACTGTACAAATTTTCTGTATTAAATAAATCCCCACTGACTGTTCTCCTGTTGCTAAGGGAATAAGGGCTAGCTGTTTGTTACTCTTCGCAGCTATGTTTTGGAAACGAAAAATCCTTGCACCAGCTGTTGGGAGCTATGGATGGAAAGACCTTAGGGGTACAAAGGGGATACAAGTCTGTTTAGTCTCAATATCATCCCTACACATGCACACCCCTCCTCCCACTCCCAGCAAGATCTGCAGAGCTGGCTTCTATAAAAGCAGCTACAGAGTTCCTGGAAGGCTCTAATCCACAATGGTTAAAAATATCCATCTTGGGGCCAGAGCTGAGTCAACTAAGCTAAGTCAGCCCAGAAACCCAGGAAATGAGCAGTGAGGTAAAATGAATCCAGGGGTAAGCAAAATGCTACCTATCTGTGAGGTAATGACAGGAGGGGTGATGGTATGAAAAACAGGTCAGTCACCTTCACTGAGAAATCTACAAAACTGTCTAGATTTGTCTTTCTCTCTCCACCCATATCCTGGCCCCCAGGCCTTTACTCTGGGGTAACGCAAGGCTCGTATAATGGAGCTATCCTACTCTGGATAAACTCATGACTCTTGAATCTGAATGCTAGTTTTCTCATCTGTTAAAACAAGAAAAAGGATCTACTTCAAACAGATGACATGGCTGCAATATTATTCAAGTGACTGACATAAAATATTTGTTTAAAGGTGTTCCCTTGTTTGGGCTTCCTGAGCTAGAGACAATGAAGTGAAGATGCAAAGGGTGAGATAAATGAGTTTTGGGAGTCAAGGATTCAGACAGAGCCTCCCTTGTGGCACCGGGGGTGGTCTCAGCACTACCGAGCTATCACCAGCCACTGCTTTATGAGTTCGATCCCCGGCCAGGGAGGGACCCACAGGGCGCGGCAGACCTCTCCTGTCTCCCCACTGCTCCCTCAGCAGGTCCTCTGTTCTGTTCCCCACTGTCTCTGGTGAACCCTCTCGCCTCCTGCACCTTTGGCTTGCACCCCAGTTCTACTAAAACAAACAAACAAACAAAAAAAAACAACCACCAAGTGCTTTTGGTCACTTTATAAATTTTGGACGGTCAGTTTCCTTTTCTATGCCAACTATGAAAGAGGAAGAAACTGTAAAATGTCTACTATATTTTCTGAGTTCCATGGAGGATAGGAAAGCAAATTATATAATCAACATATATTGAACTTTGATGGAACTCTCCCCAGAAACACAAATTACCTCTATGTACACATACAGAACTCCAAGGATGAGAATGATCATCCCAACTTAGTAGGTGGTGAAAGCTGAAGTCCTGGAAACTCATTAGTGACCTGCCCAGTATCACAAAGGCCAGTGATTGATTAGAACTAGTATCTCCTGATTTCAAACAATGTGCTATTATTTCTAGAATGATAAAAGTAAGAAAAATTTCATTCCATAATGTTATCAAAGTTGGAAGTCTTCGGAAAATCTGCTCAAAGACCCACTTTACTGAAACAACACTATTCTACACGTGGTTGGCAATGATAATTGCCACGAAATCTCTTGGGGCCTGAAACTAAGAGGCTTCAGATCGCCCTGACTACTAAAGAAATTTGCTCCCGAGCTTCTTGCAGCACCATCTCATCATTCACCTCAGAGAGAAAACACGTGGGTCACTAAGCCTCAATCTCTAAGCACATAAGTTGTTAGTAATTTCAAACCCAAAGTAAGGGCCAAGGAGAGAAAGAAAACAGACACCTGAGGGCTTGGGAAGGGGAGGGGCCAGGCTGCAGCGGGCCCTGCCTTTATCAAGGCTGGATTCACGTGACCAGAACAGAGGGCGGGCTCTTCCTCATGTTTAGGTATGTGGGTGCACGGCTGTTATTGTGAGGTGCACGATCGTCTAAGAGCATAGAATATATTCAGTATAATAGTTACTTGGGGGTAGAACAGCAATCTGGAAGTAAACTGTGTTTTCACACAGCACAAGGATAAGTGACCAGCTTTCTTGCATCTGTTTGACTCTGGGCTCAAGTCTCCGGCCTGTTTTAATTTTATAGTCATTGAAATGAACCAGAAAAAGACTGTTGTGGTCATCTGCATTATCATTTTTGAAAAGGAATTAAGTTTATACCTACTGATTTCAAGCATGTGTAAGCCATACTCAGTTTACCTAGCTTAAAAAAATACAAGAGGCCCTCCCTGGTGGCGCAGCGGGTTAAAGCACAGCACTGAGAATCTAAAGCTGCTTCCTCATGAGTTCGATTCCCGCCTGCCCCGGAGGTGACCACATGGCGTGGCAGACCTCTCCTGACCCGCCCGCTGCTCCCCTCAGCAGTGTATTTCGTTGATCTGCCTGCTTTGCACTCCACTCTGTCTCTGGTGAATTCTCTCACCCTCCACATCTCTGGCCTGTATCCCAGTTCTGTATGCACAAATAAAATAAAATCTTAAAAAAAAAAAAATACAAGAAGTTCGTTCCATTTATACTAACTTGACAGTCCTGAGTACTTACGGCATTTTTAAAGGAAGAGGCTTATCTTTGCTTATTCTGCCCTTTTCTTCATGCTTGGGGAGGAACAGCAACACTGAGCTGGGGGAGTCCCAAAGGGCCAAGTGAGGCCAACCCTGGGCTCCCAGGCATGACCTTTGCTTCAGTTCCATCTCTGCTAGTGAAAGGTTCCTTTCACTTCCCCAAGCTGTTTGCTCACATGGCTCAGAAAATTGAATAAAAATTCTGACAGACCCTGCTGAAGTGCATGATGCTGTATACATACATGTAGGCCTACAAAAATGAACATGAGTCTCTGCCTGAGTCTACCCAGGCAAGGCGCAGACTCGGGCACCTATGTACACATATCCACCACTTCTGACAGCCCCCACGTCATGTGACAGCCCTTTATTGGGGCAAGTGCTCATTTAACTGACGGTGGATGGAAACCAGAAGAAAGCTTCAGGGAAGGCTCAGTCTTCCAACAGAGTTTTAAAAAGAAAGTGAGCAAAGATTGAGGGAGGGAAAGCAGAGATGGCCAAAGGGCCAGGTCTGAAAACACAGCACGGAAAGCGAAGCGTTTGAAGTGACGCAATCCAGTTCAGGTAGCGTGTACAGGAATAATGAAAGATAAAGCCGAGTAAGGTGAAGTCAGACCGTTTTGAAAATGGTAAATGGCAGAACCAGAGAACCAGCTCTGTGTGCAAGGATCGGCCGGTGGCGGCGGGTGTTAAGGGGACGCGGTGGGAGGGGCGGTGGCACAGCCGCTGCCGTAGGCCAGGTGGGTGGCAAGGAGCGCCGTCAGGGGCAGCAGTGGGAAGAGCGCCAGTCAGAAGTCCTGGGCCAGCTCCGACAGCAGCTACTGACCCGGGCCGCCACGGTGGCAGGCCGTCCCAGGGGAAGAACGTGCAAGAGGAGCGCTCATGCAAATAAAGGCTTCCCGGCAGAGAAGGCAGAAGGAGCGGGCAGCCCCGTCCGCAGGCCCGTTGGCAGCCTCCAGGCCTTCCTTGCTCCCCAGGCGCCCAGCCAATGGGGGAAAAGAAACACACGAGACTCAAGAACATCTTATTAATACAGTATTTATTCGTCTTCCCTGTCGGACCCTGAGCCAACTGCGTCCCCAGGCCACTTTCCTGGGAGGTACAGGACAGGTGCAGGGCAGACGAGACGCGGGAGAAAGAACTACGGGCGGTGGAGACGGCTCCTTCACATGGCGAAGAGGATGAGGAAGGCCACCATCAGGCAAAAGAGCCCCATGGCCTCCGAGAGGGCAAAGCCCAGAATGGCGTAGGAGAAGAGCTGCTGCTTCAGAGAAGGGTTCCTGGGGGAAGGGGAGAAGGACTGAGCTCATCGTTCACACAAAGTGAAGGGCGAGCCCCACAGCGCGTCCACCTCACGGGGCGGCCCTTTCAGTAACACCAATACGCCTAGGTTCTCTGCCCATGTTAAAACCCCGTGAGGAAGGGACGATCCGAAACCCCGACCGCGGCCCAGGCATGGCTCCCTCTAGTGGGCCACCCGATCGCCACGCAATTCAGGCCTCTGGGTCTGGACATTTACTCAGGGCGCAACCAGGACGCAAGAGCTATCCAGAGTGAGCAGTGTTCTCAGACTTCAAGAGTGGAACCCCAAACTTGGAACACGAAAGCCAAACTGCAAACGGCAATAGTCAAAGTGTGGCAGCCTGAAGGGCCATTTGACTGGTTTCCCCTCTAACGGGTCTCTGGGGGCACACTCTGGACCCCCAGGGCTTCATGGAGCAGTCAGGAAAACACTGCACAGGACGACAAGGGTGCCAGAGGGAAGGAGACCACCTCTGACTTGCAAACAGCCAACATGTTTTGGGCTTTAAGAAGCTGCAAGTGGTCTGTGGGCCAAAATAACAATCAAAACGGCAAGAAGGACCCCCAACTTTGAAAATCATATTCAGCCTCTGGTTCCCTTATTCTATCCCCTTTGAAGCCTTTGCAAGGCAACAGCAGCCTTTAACAGAATCGTGAGCACCGAAGCAGCTAGGCTTTTGCTTCATACAAATTCTAAAAGAATAAGCCTGCTAAGAGACCCTGTGAGGCTCCAGGGGATTAATTTAGATCTGACAGTGAGCTGCCCAGAGTTGGCGGGGACCCAACAGTCCCAAGTGTCGGGGAGCAGTGGGGCTGGCTGCATAGGCAGTTTCCCCAGGGGCGACCAGGATTCCCCAGGAGGGGGACAAACAGCAGGGAAGCCACGAGGCTGTTCAGGGCTTGGCTCAGGGGCAGCAGCCTTTTTCTGTAAAGGGCCGGACGGTGCAAACAGACGGCCTCAGTTTACAACAGCCTGCCTTTATTTCACTTTCGATGGCGAGACCACTCAGGAGAGCCATGACGGGCGACACCATCCCCTGGACGGCGGCAGTCAGCTGTGCTCGGTCGGCTCTTTCGACCTGCAGTACCGTCAACTCACCGTGGGCTTACTGGACATATTCCAGCGGAGGGAGAGAGGAGCCGGGTGTTAGGGTTAGTGGGTCACCTACAGTCTCCTACTTTGAGAATGTAAAATCTATTCTAGCTCAGCTAGAAAGCCAGTCTGAGGCTGGCAGAACCCACCGCCTCATTTGCTGACCTGCTTTAAAGCAAAGCCTTCAAGAACTTTCTTCAACCATGGCAGTGTTCTGAGCCTATGTGGCTTGAAATGGTGACCACCAGCCAGCGGAGGTACTGCTCACCTGAAATATGGTTGACGTGACGGAGGAACTGAATCTTAACTCTGTAAACTTTTAATTGATTGCAATTCAAACTCAAACAGTCCCAAGCGGCTAGTGGCTACATCATAGCATAAGAGAGCTCTAGACTGCCAAATACCCATCCAGATCTTTGAAAAACGCAGCAGACCAATGGAGCATCTTACCTGGCATAACCAATGATGAGGCTCCCAAACACAGTCCCAATGCCAGCCCCAGAGCCAGCCACCCCGACCGTGGCAGCCCCGGCCCCTATGAACTTGGCCGCTGTGTCAATGTCCCTTGAAACGGCGCTGGTCTGGAAGCTGCGGCTGGGGAGAAGGGAGTTCAGCGGACGCGGGGCTGCCCAGCTGCTGGGGCTCTGCGGAGCAAGGGTAGGAGAGGTAGTTGTGAGGAAGCCGCTCTGGCTTTGGAGACTCTTGTAACAGTAAAAAGCCTCTGTCCATCAAGTCTGGGTTTGGGTTTCTCCCCCAAACAAGCTATTGTTAACTCCTGGAAACCATAAATGCTGCCCGGTAAACTTTATAATGCAAGATGCACCCTTGAAACATTTTCAGGATTCAGGTATGGTACAGAAGGGTAAGACTGAAGCCTTGTGCGAGGTGATTCAAAGCTGCCTCCTGGGGCTAAGTGCTGCTCACCAAAGTCAGGAAACTCGGCAGGGACAGCAGCTCCCAGCAGCACACGCCACACTCAGCATGGAGTGTCCACTGTCCTCCCAAGCCACCTGCCATCGATCTTGCACCAGTATTCCTGTGATGACTGTCCTCAGCACGCCCCCTGCTGGTCCTGCCGGGAACCTCCCCCACCCCAGGCCCCAGGCCGGGTCCCGCAGTACCTCATCTGTCAGTGCCTCTGGTTGTTTCAGCACCACAGCGGACAGCGATCTACTCAGCAGCTGAGAGGTGCTCCTGACCTAGTGGGATGACACAGGGCGAGGTCAAGGAAGGCTGTGGAGAGGAGTTTTAGGCCCACCCACGTTGTTATGTGGCTACCCTTTCTTTATTCTCCAATTCAAACCAGAATCCGGCATATTCTAGGCTCAAGAACTACCCATTCCCTGGTGCTTCTCTGCCTTCTCTGATTTACGGAAAGTGAGTCTAGTTCCTTTTGGGTCACCCTCCCTGAACCCATCTACAAAAGTCTTGAAGAGTGAGGAAAAATTTAAGTCTCAGAAACATTTGCTTCACTCGGTAAGAGATGGAAGAAACGGTCGGTCCACAAGAGGAAGCCAATGGTGGGCACATTTGCCCAGACACATCCTTCTGAAAAACAGGCACAAAGATCCATGCTCGGAACCCAGCCCTTCCTGGCAGCCTTTTCTGACTCCCTGGATGCCAGTGTTTCCAAAGCATGCGACACGGTGACGAACAGCAGGACTTTAGTCAGAGATCTGCATTCAAATCCTAGCTCTATTTCACCTGTCACCCTTGACAAATCACTTGAGTCTCCCCAAGCCTGTTATCTGTCAAAGGGAAACAGATCTCAGGGCTCGTGCGGACAGTAAACGCGATTGCGTATGCCAGCGGGTTAACATGGTCCAAGGCACAGCTCCGAAATGGTTCCCACAAACACCATCACTTGCACACATGAATGAACCGACTGCTTCGACCACCTGCTGATGTGTGGCTTCTTCCGTGTTGTTTCTGAGTCAAATAATGTCCCCATCCACTTCGCAGTTCGCACAGGGAAGGCCGTGCTGCAGCTTTCCCAACCAAGGACGAGGGCACCAGCGCGGGCGGCCACGCCAGGGCATCTACTCCACGTGTGCCATCTCCAGGCACGGACCTTCGGGACAGGGCAGCCTGAGTGCAGTCCAGAACCGCATCAACACGCGTCCAGGGTGGGTGGCTGACAAGAACCAGCTGGCCTCCAGGGAATGGGGCAGAGGTGTGTTTGCTCCGCACTCACTCTCCCACCAGGCTGCCACAGCTGACGGCTTCTCCCTGCCCAGCTGTCAACAAGGTCTGGCAAGGAAGAGACAAGATGTCCCTCCTTACGAACTCTCAGAGAAAAGACAGGTACTCACCAAGGAGGGGGCGGAGGCGACCTTGGCGCAGGCATACATTGTCGGGGGTGAGGCTCGAGCAGGCGAGCTGGAATGACAAGAGCGGCTCTGTACACATTGTCCGCGCTCCCCGAAAGACAACCTGATTCGTAGAAAAGGCCCTCTGCAAGCTTAAACAGCCCCGAGAGCACCAGGACTGACCTCAATTCATCAGCAGAGATGGAATTAGAAACTCGAAGCCAAGATTCCCTCCACACAGCTTCCAAGATTTTCTTATTCTCAAGTGACGCCCCCTTTTTTGAACTCATAGCAACTTAGTCCCCGCTTTCAGACCTGTCACCCATTTCGTGGCCTTATGGGTTGGGGTTGTGGGAGGAATGTCTCTAGTGTCCTCTGCTAGTTTCCCCAGTCTTTACACAAAAGAAGTCTTTTTCATTACCTGAGCCTAAAACACTGGGCCTTTATGTGGCAAAATACACCTGAAGAGGTGTGAACTGGTACTTCTGAATTGTGACAGTGTCCTCAACCAGCTCAAAAACCAAAAACAAAGAAGTTGCTCCTTAGAGACATCTGGGAGATACTTGTTGAAGGCAAAGACACTGGTAAGGTCTCCAACAATTTTTTTTTAAACTGTACTACTTGGAAGTATTTAATTCCTCAAAAACACTTCACTCTACTACATTAACAGGGCGAGGTAGATCAATAAGCAAATCTAACTAGTAGTAACTTGGAAGTATTTGGCTTTATCATACTCGGGGTGCTCAATGTGTATTTCCAAGACTTAACACAATGCAGATACCCTGTAGGTGCCTATGTTGGTAAAACTGAACTGAGAGTAGGTGAGGTTTGTCCCAGTGAAGGCGAGGCCCACCCGAACTGGAATTATCTGGGGGCAGGGAAGGTGTGTAAGTGACAGCTGCCAACTTTGGGATTCTACCATAGAACTTTCTGGTAAAAATCTTTGGGGTATAGCCCCCCAAAAGGCACTGGGTTTCAAAGAAGCTTCCCAAAAGACTCTTGGGTACCTTTAAAGCTGCCTTAAAACTATGGCAGTGGCGGGCCCTCCCTGGTGGCGCAGCAGGTTACAGCACAAAATGAAGAAGCTAAAGCCACTTCAGCATGAGTTCGATCCCCGCCCCGGAGCTGACCCACATGGCGCGACAGACCTCTCCTGACCGGCCCGCTTCTCCCCTCAGCAATGTACTTTGTCAGTCAGCCTGTTCTGCTCCCCACTCTGGTGAATTCTCTCACTGCCCCTGCAACTCTGGCCTGTACCCCAATTCTGTATGCATAAATAAAAAAATCTTTAATAAAAAAAAACAAAAACAAAAGAACAAAAAACAAAACTATGGCAGTGGCAAAGCCAGATGTGAACTCCTCTTCTGAGTTAATTAATGTTCCCTAATACTCTGTGGGTTAAAACATGCAAGTGACATGTAGGCCTGTGAAGTGACATTCCCTTATGTGAGGGGGACTCCAAATCATTCCAGTTTACACTCTGAATCCAGAATCTTAGTCCCGTTCATATTCACGGATGTCCTCTACTCTTGTCCTGTCCAGAACCTTGACTTCTGCTTATGGGTAACTCTAGACCAACTTGATTGCTGGTTGTCCTGCAAGTCCAACATTTTTTAAAAAAATCTTTAAAAGAGGGAGAACTGGCACTCCCTGGTGGCACAGCGGGTTAAAGCGCTGCATTGTGAAGCTAGAGGCAGCTTCAGTGAGTTTGATCCCGGCCCTGGGGGTGACCCATATGGTGCGGCAGACCTCTCCTGTCTTCCTGCTGTTCCCTTCAGCAGTGTACTTCGTCCATCTGCCTGTTCTGCTCCCCACCCTGTCTCTGGTGAATCCTCTCACTGCCTCTGCACCTCTGGTCTGTACCCCAGTGTGCATAAATAAATAAATATTAAAAAAAAAAAAAAGAGAACTCTTTCAACCCAAAGGCAATTAATCCTAAATGTCATCATTTGTAGAATGAAGTTGTTAGGAGGACTGAGTGCAACAGCATGGTTGAAAAACTTAATGTGATCTACCAGGTAATGTACCCCAACAAAGGCTGGCAACTAGGGGAACTAGGGGACCTCCCACCCTTCACCTAACAAGCCCCACTACTGGCGACCACCACCTTGACTACTGCGTCACCCTGACTCAGAGGCCTGCACCGGGGGCGGGTCTCCTCCAGGGGCAGACCAGCGCAGGTCGGGGGGCTACTCAAACATCCCCTCTTCATTCTCCTTTTCCTCCAGGGCTGAGTCAGGGGCAATTAATAAAACCCCTGACAGGAGAGGGGTCGGGGGGACTCCCCCATCCTGGACTCACCCCGCCCTTTTGGGACTGCTGCTTCTAACGGAAAACCTCACGATTGGTCTACACTTGTGGTTTTTCCCATTTCACCGGAATGTTAGGAAAAGCAGGGTCGTGGGGGGCTACCGATGGGTCCAGAGAAAGGGCCCCCCGGCTATGGCCCCCCTCGCCACAGCCAGAGGAGGGGTGCTTCGGCCGGTCTGTTCACTTCTACCACGTTCACAGTTTACTGTTAACTTGAAGGGTGCTGTATACGACCCACCACCTCCACTGTCGGGACCCCTGAGGTGCAGGGATGGGAAATCGGGGTTTCAGGACAAGGCAGGAGCCAGAATGGGCGAGCAGACGGCGAGTCAGGGGGCTGTGGCTGCTTGGAGAGGGGAAGAGCGCGAGACCAGAGCGTGTGCAAGGGCCGGTTGTGAAAGGAGAAAGCGAGCTCCCGGGACTTGACTGTCGCCCGTTCCAAGGCGGCGACCCAGCCCCCACCCCCCCAGAGACGTCCAAGATGGCGCCAGGCCCGCGCGGTTGGAGGTCACCGGCACGCGGAAGGGGCAGCACTGAGGTGCGGGGCCACCGGGGGCACAGGAGGACCTGAGGTCCAGGGTGCGGGCATGCAAGGGAAGGACCTTACAGCATCGGCGCGAGATGGGGCGCCCCGCGCGCGTGCGCGGCGCACGGCGGCTGCCGGGGCCCAAGGCCTTACCTGCTCCCAGTGCAGAGAAGACAGAGAGGGGCAGGGGGCGGGAGTAGCGAAAGGAAGGCTCGGCGCATGCGCGGCCCAGACCAACGAGTCGCCGCGCTGAGGCTAGAGTGGTGGCAAGATGGAGGGTCGGCCCAGGCACCACAGCGCCGCCAGCCAGCTCTGTGGGGGCGTGCGGCCCGTTGCGCCACCTGGTGCTTGAAAGGAGAACTGCAGGGGGAGCCGACCTTTGCAGAACCGGGGACCAGCTCAGCCTTTCAAGTCCTAACGTTTGTTCTGCACAATGTTTGGGATGGACTCGTGTCCCCCTCCCGAGCATGCGCTGTCATATTGCCACCCCTCCAAATGCAATGTGAAACAGCATACAATTGGTGTTTGGGGTACAGTGCCCAAAGTGTAGCAGGAGGAAATGAGGTTGTAGGGGGCTCCTGTCTGCTGTCACCCTGGCCTGTAACTGTATAGGTGGGAAACCCCTCGCATAGGCTAATAATCAGCGGAAATGCCCCACTACCCCTGGTTAGCTTATTCCTTTATGTCTCTTTCCCTCTCTCTTGTCCCTGCGATTGGCCATGAAGAAAATCAGCATCAGCAAACCTAGAAGACAGGTTCTAACGGTGACTGAGAACCAAGTCCCCTACCTAAGACCTGTTTCCTGAATAACGAGCAATGCGACCTGCAGTGCAGCCGAGGGCCAGCCTAGACCTAGACCTGCACGAGCTCGGCCAGCCTCACCCATGCAGGCTGAGACAGCAGTCCCCCACTCCTACCCCCGGGGGTGCTTCCAGAAGCCCCTCGCTTCCCTCGGGCCCTGGCCTCCTCCTCTAGTGGGTGGGAGGAAGAGGGGCGGTCCCGGTCCTCATCACTTCTTTTAGGCCTCGCTGTGGCCCAGAAGGATGGAGACGCCCTTTGCAAAGGCAGGGTGGCGAGGCCTACACACCGCCCCTCACGTCGAGACCCCAGCCATCCCGCCATCCGGCGTGCACGCTGCTCAAGAAGGACGGAGAGAGCTCACCAAACCCCCATAAAAAAGAAAAAAGAAGAAGAAAGCCTCGGCTGTAAATAAAGCCAAATCCGCCACCCTCTGAGGGGCCGTTTGTCCTCCCCTCCTTGGCCCCGTCCTTCCCGCCGCCCCCTCCCGGCGCCCGGGCCCCGCGGCGCCCCGGCCCCGAGCTCCTCCATTTAATCGGATTTGGGAGAAGGGGAGGATAAATCACGGCAGCAGCTTTACGGTCCCGGAGGAGATGTGAGCAGCAGCCAGGCACACCCCGGCCGGCGATAAAAACCGCCGCTGAAAGCCCACGGAGCAATTTCCCGGGACCCCGAGCGACGCCATTACAGGAATGTAATTTTGCCCGGATGAGGCCCCGAGTTTAATTATCCTCGCGGAGGAATTTCAATGCGGCCAATCCATCTTGCAGGCGGGCGGCAGAGGGATTTATATGGGCCCGTTATTTCACACCGATCCTCCATCTGCATTTTTATGGCCCTGAGCTTCTGCAAGGGAGGAGAAGAGTGGGGAGAAATTGGAGAAGCCGAGGAGAGCAGGGTGGGGGATTTCCTGTCCGTCCGAAATCCACGAAATCCACGATTCCACCTCGCTGAGGATTCTCTCTCCTCTCCCCAAACCCCCAGATCTCCCTCCAGTTCCAGTTGTTGATTGGGGAGTAGGGGGCAGGGGGAGGCAGCGAAAGTGAGGAGTGGGCTGGGAGCCTCAGGACTCAATCAACAGGTATCTTTCAAGTGCCAAGTCTGGCCCGGTGCTAAGACGCTGCTAAGGGCTCTGTCCCCGAGGTCGGCCGACGCCCCCACTCCTGCCCAGACCCAATTCCTCCCTGCGCTCAGCTTCACCTCCTTGGAGGCCCAAAGTCTAGTTCTTGGGAACTGCCACCATCAAACGGCAGTGAAATTGTTGCAACAATTGAAGCCCCTCTCAGATAGAACTAAAAATCCTAGCGAAGGAATAGAGGAGGCTAAAGCTAGCTCTTCCCCAAAATTGTGGTAGCTTGCAATATTTAATTCTCCCTGCCCCCCAATTCAGTGCTGGGCTCTGGATTCATAGGAACCTGGGTTCCCGCATTGCTGTGTGATCGTGGGCCAGGGTTTAACTTCTCTAAATCGATTTCTTCCTGTAGAAATTAGAATAATAGTTTATTCACTCCATAGTGGATATTAGGATAATGTACGTGAAGCTTTTAGCTTGAAACTCAGGAAGGGTTGAAGACATGCCAATAACATTAGTACTAATAACAGTATCATTTGGAGCATGGCAGCTCAGTGCTGCACTGTTACCTCAGGCTTTTTTACACGGTCCTTGCAGTGCTGTCTCCTGAAAGAATGTCAACTACCTCTGAACTTTTTCACCTCTGCAAATATTGCCAAACAAATTATTTGACAGGTCGGTGCGTGGAGATCAGTGGGGAGGGCTTCAAATCCTGAGGGGTGTCGCTACCAGGTAGAAGCCAGAAATTAAATCAGTCACTCCCGAGAGTGTGAAAATTGGCTGGAGGGTTTCTGAGGGAGAAGTGAATGTGAAGACAACCAAAGCTGACCTGAGAGGACATTAACTAAAGGTTAACTTGGCTCTTAACTTTGGAGAAGAGCCTTCCTTCTTTTGAGTGAGAGGAAATGGGTCCAGGAAGGAAAGGGTGTGGAGCCAGAACTGTCCTTGCCAATCAATCCCTTTCTTGTCCTACCAGACCATGTAACAAGACTGGCCTGATTGGCCAGTTTTTCTAATGACTGTTAGTGGCAGATTCTGAGTGGTTAGCAGCCTCCCTGCACGGTGGTGATGAAAAAATGAGATTGATCTTTTCTTTCTTAGGATTGGTTAACAACCCTCAGGGGGCCCAGAGACTCATTTTAATTGACTGGTAGGCTAGGAGGGAGGTGCAGCACCTCTCATATAGAAATTCTGAGTATTCTTTTCCAGAAAGGTCACCAAGAAAGGGTCTTGACTGGCTTACGTGTTTCTCTTTGCACAGTAGCTGAGAGAAGAAAAGTCAAGGGAATCATGCAGGCATGTCACCGTGCAATTTGAAAACCCAACCATAGGAAGGGACTCACAGAGAGAAACATAAGAGGAATGGAAAAAGAGAGAGGCTAGAACACAGAGAAATGCAAAGGAAAATAAAACTGCCAGAGAGAAGAGGAAAGGTTTGAATAATCTGTTTCTCATTCCTGATGGGTTGAGATGAGGCGACTTCATTTTTTTTTTTGGGGGGGGGAGCAGATCAGGCAGATCTACGAAGTACACTGCTGAGGGGAGCAGCTGGCGGGTCAGGAGAGGTCTGCCGCTCCATGTGGGGCAGCTCCCTGGGTGGGGATTGAACTGCTGCTATGACTGCTGATAGCTTCATAGTGCTGAGATTTAAACCCTTGCACCAAGGAGGGCGGAGATGGGGCTACTTCATGATGCATTTTGCTGGGTGCACATGTTGCCAGCAACTAGCCCAGAAACACAAACAACACCTGTCCTGGAGGCAGGACTATTCTATGCTACTAACTAGCTGAGTAACTTATAATAGTTACTTCCTCTCTTCAAGCTCCATTTTCCTTATTTGGAAAAATCAGGGAGAGAAGTGATATTTGAGGTTCCATTCAGTATTATGTTTGTAGGATTCTCTTTCTTTCAGCTGAACAGGTAAGTTTTTGCAAGTTGAAGTAGTATTTATGAGGCTAATATGAACGATGCTTAGGTTTTGACTTCCTTTATTTATTTGTGATTATTAATTTCCATTTCCTGAGGGAGGAGGGCACTGATTGATGGGTTTTCTCCCTTTTCTTGCCGATTCATCTTCCTAGGTCTGCAGACTGTGAACCAGCAGCAAACCTCCCCACTCCTGGGCAAAAATAACAGAAGATGGAGGAAATGGAGGGTTATTAGACTGCTAAGGGAGAGATCTCTGCTAGAGCTGGTGGCAGAAAGATGGTTTAACAAGTTTTTGCTGGGGAACAAATAAGTTCCTTTGAATTTGTGCATGTGTGCATATTTATCAAGAAGCCATGATTAAATAGCCTGTGAACAGATTCGGTCTCTGCCATTTGGTGTCTCCCAAGTCAAGGAACACAAACAGGCAAAACAGAAAATAAAAGCAATTGTGATGCATTGTGAAGTGTTAAGGGCAGCAAGCTAGAGATCTGAGCCTGGATTTTTGAAATAATACAAATTAATTGTGTGACTTTGAGCAAAATCACGTTAGCTCTCGAGTCTTCAGTTTTCATACTTGCAAAATGGAGCAAAACAATAGATTATTGAATTCTTTCAGCTTTAAACACATGTAGCTGAGCATGTCCTTGTTGGCTTGCTCTTGTCTCCTGACACCCAGTATTTACTGAGCAACTACTTAGTCCGTGCACGATATTGTGCTACATACTGAGGGTGGGAATGACAAAGGAGAACACACAGCCCTTGTCCTCATAAGTGTATAATCAGTAAGAAAGACATGTAACTATCACATGCAACAAGGTTTAATAAATTATATGAGTAAGAGCGGCTGAGGGGGCAGTGTGCCTTCTAGCCTATCAAGGGGCGCTATGATTAAAGTAGGTTTTTTTCTTCTGGAAAAACAGGTTAATATTTGAATGACCTAAAAAAAAGAATGCAAGTAATGTATCACATTTATTCCACAGGTTTTTGTTTTGTTGCATTTATTCCATAGATATGTCAGGCACTCTTCTAAGTGCTGGAAACACAAATGCTAGAACAAAACATGGCAAAAACCCTTGCCAGCCTGGCATTTTATATAAAGTATGAGGCATCATAATGAAATGGACAACCAATGAACCATCTCCAATTTAAAAAAAGAAAAAGTATATTACTAATACTAACGAAGGGCATCCAATACTTCTCTCCTGTAGTAACCCTACATTTTATGGTTATCGTTTCAAGTTTTGCCTTATATCTTTACATTTATTATTTATGTTAGCCACTTAATTTACCAACTTAAGAGTGATATAATATTGTTTGTAGACTTCTTGTTCTTTTCATTCAACATTATGTTTCTAAGATTCACCCATGTTGACAGAGATAGCTGTAATTTCTTTTTATTAACATATAATAGCCCATCAATCTGTTGATTACCTGTTGATGAA